TCCTTACCACAGTCATAACCCTGGTCAATACTAAATACTTATCTACCAAGAGGTAAAAGTATCCTTACCACAGTCATAACCCTGGTCAATACTAAATACTTATCCTTGAATGCAATACCACATGCCCTTGAAAGTGATGTCATACCCCCTTGAAAGTGATAACCAAGCCCCCTTGAAAGTGATACCAAACCCCCTTGAAAGTGATAACCAGGCCCCCCTTTAAAGTGATACCACACCCCCTGAAAGTGATACCAAACCCCCTTGAAAGTGATAACCAAGCCCCCTTGAAAGTGATAACCATGCCCCCTTGAAAGTGATAACCAGGCCCCCCTTTAAAGTGATACCACACCCCCTTTAAAGTGATACCACACCCCCTGAAAGTGATAACCATGCCCCCTTGAAAGTGATAACCAAGCCCCTTGAAAGTGATAACCATGCCCCCTTGAAAGTGATAACTAGGCACCCTTGAAAGTGATACTGCACTCCTTGAAAGTGATGTCACACCCCTTGAAAGTGATATCACATCCCCTTAGAATGGGATACCACACCCCCGAAAGTGATATCACACCCCCTTGAAAGTGATGTCACATCTCCTTGAATGAGATACCACACCCCCTGAAAGTGTTGTCACACCCCCTTGTAATGGGATACCACACCCCCTGAAAGTGATATCACATCCCCTTGGAATGGGATACCACACCCCCTGAAAGTGATATCACACCCCCTTGAAAGTGATGTCACATCCCCTTAGAATGGAATACCACACCCCCTGAAAGTGTTGCCACACCCCCTTGGAATGGGATACCACATCCCCTGAAAGTGTTGTCACACCCCCTTGGAATGGGATACCACACCCCCTGAAAGTGTTGTCACACCCCCTTGGATTGGGATACCACACCCCCTGAAAGTGTTGTCACACCCCCTTGGAATGGGATACCACACCCATTCTCAATTTTTTCCATTTTGCTGCTTCCACTTAATGCTGCCTGTTTTGAATATAAATTATGTTGGCATTCAAGAAATTTGTGTTTTTTTTAATTGAAAACTAAAATTTCCAGATGGTGCTGTTTCCTGATTGGTTTCCCTTATTAGTGATACACCTGCAGCTGTTGTTTCTGCGGCCATAAACAGCTAAACATGGATATCTATGAATGTTAGTAAATAGCGTATCGTTGTAGTTATAATGTTAATTAAATAATTTATTCAAACAATCAAGTATCAATGACAGCGATGAATGCCCCCGAAAACAACTTTATTGGACATAAACTTTAAACAAAGGGTCATAATTCTGAATTTGGTACACTACATATTCTCTTTAACATGTAACATGTATACACCAAGTTTCATGATCCCAATTTTAACACAGGCAAAGCCATGCTCATGACACAAAATTTCAACAAATAGCAATAATTGTACTGAAGGGTCATGGGGCCCGTACTTTGCTCCACAGCACTTTGCTTTTGTGTGTCTGATGTATACACCATGTTTAAACAATCAGGCAAAGTAATGGTGTGGACACAAAAGTTTAATAAAGGGCAATAACTCTGTAATGGGGGTTGGGGATGGGTTGCCCTGAATTTGTAACACAACACATTGTCTTAGTATGATCAACGATCATCGTTCATGATCCTTGATTAACTATTGGCAAAGTTATGCTTTGGACTAGAATTTTTCAACAAAGGTCATTAACTCTGTAATTAAAGGGCTGAGAGCCCTAACGTTGGTACACTTCACACTGTCTTTGTATGATAAATGTATACACCAAGTTTCATTATCCTACCTTAAATGCCAGCAAAGTTATGCTCTGAACAATATATCTTTTAACAAAGGGCAATAACTCTGTAATTGAGGGATCAAGGGTCCTGAACTCGATACACTGCACATTGTCTTAGCATGATTAATGTTTCGCGATCCTTGCTTTAACTGTGGACAAAGGTAGGCTCCAGAAATGAAAGGACACAAAGGAAGACAGATGGAGAGACGAACAGATGGATAGACATGGCAGCAACTATATGCTCCCTGAAATATTTTTGGGGAGTATAAAATCATTGTTTTTGTGTGTTTTGTTTATTTTAAATACAAATCATATGATAAAAAGACAATCATATGACCATTTTGATATAACAACTCTTATCATAACCAGACTCAAGATTAGGGGTGTGATATTGTCCTATTTAGGGGTGTAATATAATTCCAAGACTACAGATTAGGGGTATGATATCGTCCTGAGAGTCCTGATTAGGGGTATGATATCGTCCTGAGAGTCCTGATTAGGGGTATGATATCGTCCTGAGAGTCCTGATTAGGGGTGTGATATCATCCTGAGAGTCCTGAAATAAACCAGAGGGCTGAAGATCATAGGGCTGATGTCAGGAGTCAAGGGCTGATTAGGGGTGTGATATCAAAATAGTTCTATAATAATCTCTCAGCATTTTACTTCCAAACCCGTACTTTGATCCGCAGGTTTTGGACATTGTATTGTATTTCATGTTACACATAAGATGTAGAGATAGTGAGTATTTTGACTGATGACACATCACATTTGATCCCAAGATCCCAAGACAAAACCCAGAGTCCTTGGGTGGGATAGCGGTTTACTGGAATAGCCCGAGACAAACTTGTTAGACAAAACCCAGAGTCCTTGGGTGGGATAGTGGTTTACTGGAATAGCCAGAGACAAACTTATTAGACAAAACCCAGAGTCCTTGGGTGGGATAGCGGTTTACTGGAATAGCCAGAGACAAACTTGGTAGACAAAACCCAGAGTCCTTGGGTGGGATAGCGGTTTACTGGAATAGCCAGAGACAAACCTGTTAGACAAAACCCAGAGTCCTTGGGTGGGAGAGCGGTTTACTGGAATAGCCAGAGACAAACTTGTTAGACAAAACCCAGAGTCATTGGGTGGGATAGCGGTTTACTGGAATAGCCAGAGACAAACTTGGTAGACAAAACCCAGAGTCATTGGGTGGGATAGCGGTTTACTGGAATAGCCCGAGACAAACCTGTTAGACAAAACCCAGAGTCATTGGGTGGGATAGCGGTTTACTGGAATAGCCAGAGACAAACTTGGTAGACAAAACCTAGAGTCCTTGGGTGGGATAGCGGTTTACAGGAATAGCCAGAGACAAACTTGGTAGACAAAACCTAGAGTCCTTGGGTGGGATAGCGGTTTACTGGAATAGCCAGAGACAAACTTGGTAGACAAAACCCAGAGTCCTTGGGTGGGATAGTGGTTTACTGGAACAGCAAGAGACAAACTTGGTAGACAAAACCCAGAGTCCTTGGGTGGGATAGCGGTTTACTGGAATAGCCAGAGACAAACTTGTTAGACAAAACCCAGAGTCCTTGTGTGGGATAGGGGTTTTACTGGAATAGCCAAAGACAAACCTGATATGCAAAACCCAGAGTCCTTGAGTGGAAGAGAAGTTTTACTGAAATAGCTTGAAATAAAACTCAAAAACAACACCCCAGAGTCCTAGTGTGAGGGAGAGGTTTTACTGGAACAGCTCAAGACAAACCTGGTAGACAAAACCTGGAGTCCTCGTGTGGAAGAGAAGTATTACTGGAATAGACATTATTTGACTGAAAATCAATATTAAGATAAAATTTAGTGATTCCTGGATCTAAGTTTCAATTAGACACATGTGATGAATAAAAAGTTATCTAGAGTTTGGCAATAACTATAACACTAGCATGGTCTGTTAATGTCAAAACTCAATAAAATGGTAAAGTCAGCTTTTTATAACATATCAATCAAATGGTTAATTGTCAGTCTATGATTTTACCTCGACATATGTTAAGAGTCTCTTGACTTCATAGATGTACTGCAATTATTATGCCTTACATAATACTGACCATTGTACAAAATAATAAATCCTTTCTCATCAGTTACGTAGAACATTAACTTTCTTTATCAGTTGTATTTTACCTGGAAAATCAATCATTTACTTCTCATTAATTAGCACATATATCTAGTAAGGTTAATTAGTTACTAAACTTAACAAATTAACATTGTCATGTCACATGATGAATAAATCACCACATCTAACATCATAAATAAATTACTGTATACCAGGACATGTTCACCCTTTGTTAATTTCAGTTTTCATATATCACAAGTATATGTGCAGTGTTGCCATTGAATCACAAGTATATTTCCTCCATGTTGATTTCTCCAATCGGATCATGAGTGTATTTGCATGTAAGCTGTTGGATCATTGGTGTATTTGCATGTAAGCTGTCGGATTATTGGTGTATTTGCTTGTAAGCTGTTTGATCATTGGTGTATTTGCTTGTAAGCTGTTTGATCATTGGTGTATTTGCTTGTAAACTGTTGGATCATTGGTGTATTTGCTTGTAAGCTGTTTGATCATTGGTGTATTTGCTTGTAAGCTGTCGGATCACTGGTGTATTTGCTTGTAAGCTGTCTGATAATTGGTGTATTTGCTTGTAAGTTGGATCATTGGTGTATTTGATTGTAAGCTGTTGGATCATTGGTGTATTAGCTTGTAAGCTGTCGGATTATTGGTGTATTTGCTTGTAAGTTGGATCATTGGTGTATTTGCTTGTAAACTGTTGGATCATTGGTGTATTTGATTGTAAACTGTTGGATCATTGGTGTATTTGCTTGTAAGCTGTCGGATCACTGGTGTATTTGCTTGTAAACTGTCTGATAATTGGTGTATTTGCTTGTAAACTGTTGGATCATTGGTGTATTTGCTTGTAAGCTGTCGGATCACTGGTGTATTTGCTTGTAAACTGTCTGATAATTGGTGTATTTGCTTGTAAACTGTCAGATTGTGGGTGTATTTGTGTGTTGGATCAAGAGTGTATTTGCTCCATGTTAACTTTGTCTAATGGTTATAAGGAATGTAATGCTAGGGACGCTATATAAGAATCTTCCATCCAGAGATGAAAAGTGCAAAATTTAAATGGTGGGGAAAATATTCTGGTTTACAGTAACGTACAGAGTACATTAGTTACAATGCTTTCTTCCTAAATTATAAGTCACCAGATTCCGACCTTGATACATGAGATGGATCAAGATACTTTTCATCAATCTTATCCAATTTATCATACCAATGATTATACGCTAACAAGGCGACGTTTCGCCCAGATATAGCTTCCATTTCCATGGCTGAAGCTGCTAATTCTACAGCATTTACATAATACAATCGCTCATTCAGTAAAAACGGAGCTAGATCATCAGTCTTTTTAAAATTGTATTCTGGATAAGCCATCCAAGAAACTGTATGAACCTCTTCTATGGATTTGAAGTATAGATGAATCTCTTCCTGTGTGAGTTCCCTGTTAGAGAAAATTTTACCGACAATGTTTCCATCAATGGGTGGAACAGTGTCCGAGGCACTACTATAATCCACAGGAAGATGCTGACCAAATGAATTCATCAATAAATTCATATTGCATGTTAACACTGCATTTGGCATATCCATAGCATTGTCAAAGCCAAAATAGGAACTGTTCACTTGTCCATGCACAAATGTAGCTATTGTTTTGTGATATTGTTGTGGAAAGTTGTGAATATCTTGCTGAAATCCCTCAAATTTAATGTCTGTGATTCCATCAGAAAGTGGCGTGGCTATCACCACCATGTCATATCGTTTACTAGTAGCTTCCTTGTTATCGTTTTGTTTATAGTAAACTTCATACAGAAATGGTTCATCTTCCAGAAATTCTACCATTTTAACTTCTGCAGGAATTACATTAACTTTAGAATGTTTAACAATATTTTCTGGGACCTTCTTATTACCTCCCTTGACAGACCACAGACCAGACTGCACTCCCGCCATAGATATTGCTCCTGTCAAACAAATATGGACATGTGAACACTGTTAATAATTCTGTTTCCACAGAGAATTAATTAACTGAGATGGTCACAATTATATTACCTGAACTTCAGACATTAATCTCTCTGAAGATTTCTTATATTAGTTGGATATTTAGAATTAAGAACCTTGTGTCCTGACATTTCAAAAACGAGTATAAGATGGATCAGTGTTCGTCCAAGTTTTTAAGCACTGTTATATGAAACTGTGAGAAAGTGAAATCAAAGCAAAACTGTGTGTAGGATATTGCTAAGGGATTTCAGCATATTGTTGAACAGGATCTTAGACACAAGACTTTACTTTTCTCTGGTATCCTCTGAAAATTCTCAGTAACAAACTTTAACTTTTATGATCAAACATTATTTTGGCTTCTTAAGATACTTAAGATAGAAGCATCAACAACATAACATACCCACAAAACCAGGAATATCCAAGCCCTGGCCGTAATTGGTACGCATGGCTCCCATCACAAGTTCCTGGATCATGGCTTCATGAAATCCTTCCTCCCGCATGACCATTAAAACATTTTTTTTCATGTAATTAGCTAAGGATGGATCCATGGAAGTGAGTAGTTCAGGGACATTGGTATAAGCATAGCCAGCCTCCTGGGTATCATAGATCCTACAATATGAAAGGAGGTAATTATGCCATACATTAAAGACATTGCCAATTCAGTGATATCATGTGTTAATTAGGCAAGACATTATCCTACTGAATAGAGTTTTCCATGCTCTGCAATATTACCTTATAGGACTATCATATAACAAATTCATATGGTTTTCCTTAATTAAATCATAAAACAAGCACTGAAACAGGCAACAAGTACTACCCTAGATAACTAGTTATATGTGTACAGTTACTACCCTAGATAACTAGTTATATGTGTACAGTTACTACCCTAGATAACTAGTTATATATGTACAGTTACTACCCTAGATAACTAGCTCATGTGTACAGTTACTACCCTAGATAACTAGCTTGATGTGTACAGTTACTACCCTAGATAACTAGCTTGATGTGTACAGTTACTACCCTAGATAACTAGCTATATGTGTACAGTTACTACCCTAGATAACTAGCTTGATGTGTACAGTTACTAGCCTAGATAACTATCATGATGTGTACAGTTACTACCCTGGATAACTAGTTATATGTGTACAGTTACTACCCTAGATAACTAGTTATATGTGTACAGTTACTACCCTAGATAACTAGTTATATATCTACAGTTACTACCCTAGATAACTAACTTGACATGTACAGTTACTACCCTAGATAACTAGCTTCATGTGTACAGTTACTAACCTAGATAACTAGATTGATATGTACAGTTACTACCCTAGATAACTATCATGATGTGTACAGTTACTACCCTGGATAACTAGCTTGATGTGTACAGTTACTACCCCAGATAACTAGATTGATGTGTACAGTTATGGTCTTTACAACACCGGGTAAAATTTTGAACAGCACGTATAAAGTGTCAAAAACAGTAAACCTGTGTTGGAAAGATTCTGTATTGTATTCATCAAGTTTGTTAATATGTCATTATACCATAATTTAATGTGGAAATACAAACTTAATCTAGGGTACATATGGAGACAGCAACATATACACCGAATCCCTCACTGGTGTCTATTTCATGTAAGGAATTTTTTTCGTTTTCTAGCAGCATTGAATGGCAGAAGCCATCTTCAAATCCTGTGTAGTCCTGTAGCACCCCTTGAAAGATATGTCTGTATATCGCTGGTCTTGAGTATTTCCGACAGACACATTTCAAAACAAAAACCTTAAAAAATGACTTATCAACGTTTTGACTAAATCTTTGGAGTTCTAGTAATATATACCTTTTGAACTTAGCCATGAGGTCATTATTGACCCACTTCTGAAGGTTGTAGATGTCCATACCATAACGCCAGAACATTTTCCACAGGGTGACTAGAGTGTAAGGACTAGTGGTCAGTCTCATTTCCTCACCATCAAATATTCCCAAGGTTTCACCAGATGGTTCATCTCTCTTTTCCAAACCTTAAAAAAACCCAGCGGATTCATATAGGATTCACCTACAACCATTATTTCAGCTTCTATTAATATTTGTTATTGTGGAAATACAAAATTTCATAACCAACTTTTCCATTTCTTTTTTTTGCCATTTTAGATATTCATACCTTGTACCACCAAGATCACTTAACTGTATTTTTTCATCATCTTAATCATATTTAAAGTGCCAAAGTAATACAGCATCTTGTCTATTGTTATAGTACACAATGCATAAAAAAAATATGATACTGGTACAAGACAAACAAAAAAGTACCGTCACATATGACCGATCACAATGTCTATAAAGACAACAAAAAATTACTCCAATCAATCTTACACCACAAAATCATAAAAAGTCTTGTGTTACCTAGTATTTTTGTGAAATTGACCATGTACAGATTCTCTGGGTGAATGATGGATCCTCCGGCTTCATATTCTCTTCCATTGATGTTTACAGTTGCCAGGCGACCACCAATGGCATTTTTTTCATACAAGTCAATGACAGCCTCATTCCCAAAGAGTTCTCTCATGAAGTAAGCTGTGGATGTCCCTCCTATACCACCACCAACAATTGCTGTAAGTAGGATGGAATAATTACCTTGTTTGTAAGGTTTTACAGGTTATACAAGGTATAGAGGGCAAAATATCCCCACGTAAATGTGTATTACATAACTTAACACAATGCTGAATGAAGACCTGTTGTCACATATTTTGATCTCAATTTAACTATTACCAAGATATTCAAATAAAAAAATATTAAAAAATCCCAAAATCAAAGCCTCCCTCTTTATCAAAATCCATTAAAATCGCATTTTTTCACTCCAAATTTGCACTGAAGCATTTCTAGCCTTCATTTTTGTCTGTTCTGATTTATTCATACCATCATCAAAATACTTAGTGATCACTAAACTAGGTTTCTCTAGTATCTAAACATTCAGAATTAGGTGAAAACATGTTTGACAATCACATGTTTCCTGGTTAGTTCTGTTCTCTTGTGTTCCTGACGAAAATTGAACATTTGTGCGCTTTTTCTTGAGTAGGTGTGTTCAACTTTTCTATTTCCATTTTTTGCTTTGTGTGCTAGTAGTATTACAGGATTCTTATGAGGTTAACTTTCAGCTAAGCATTTCCAATTTAACTTTGTCTATTTAGGTTTGGAGAGTAAATATTTTTTATAAAATTTTTATTTCAGGTGATTATAAATACACAAGACAGGGTTGTAGTTTTAATATCTGTTAGTTGTCCATCAACATTTCTTCACTACCAGTATATTTTGGAGCTAGAACTAAATATTTTGATATCTAAACTTTTGTATCTAAAGTGGTAATTGTGTTAGTGTAGCCTAATCTTGGATGTTAATGTATGATCAAGCTTTGACATACTGTGCTAAAGTTCAGCCTAGGGCACAAGCTGATATCCACTATCTATCAGTCATAGGAAGCTCGTACATAATCACCTGCTGGAATTTTGATAACCAAAGGCCACTTAGCTGTAAACAAGCTGTGTTATCAAACACCACTTAGTGCAGTTACCTCTAAAACAAATCATTTCTAAATCTTGTGTTTTTTAACTTTAACTCTACTAACTTGTTTTTTAACTTGTCAAAAAACATATTATGATTCAAGAAATTTGTATTTCAATTAGAAAAAAAAACAAAACAGTTTTTTGTTTAATGCCTGAGGTAGGACAAGCTGTTGATCTGTCACTGACTACTTCACTTCCTTGAAAAACAAACTTCTGGATAACATATGTATACTGGCACCCATTAAAGTGATGAATGCAGCTGACAAACAATGATTTTCTAATCAATTCAAACCAATAGCTATTTCCCCAATAGCAATGTCCTAGCTTGTTGCGTGCTACATATGAGAAGTGAGTACCCAGGATCTTAAGATTCAAGTAAGCATCTCATTATCATATTGCTTCTACCGTTTGAGTGGTCAATAGCACGAAATATGTAATAGGAAGGAGCAAACATGTTCAGCCCTACTGGGATTCAAACTAGCAACTCTATAAACCCTTTAGTCTCTCACAAGACATTATACTATTTGAGTAAATCAAAATTCCCTCACACCAAGGCTAGTAAGATCACCTGAGTGCTTTCCATCTACATGAACCTATATAGGACTCACAACGATATCCACGATTTTGTGGTCATAAAATGGAAAAACTTCTGATGTATGATAATTGCACTTTGATTCTGATGAAACTATTTACCTTTATCACTACCAGGTATTTAAAGGTGCATTGTAAGCAAAAGTAATACAAACAAATACAAATACCGTAAATGACATCCTTTCATCTTTTTTCGCTACATTTAATATTTACATATATAACACTTCTGTTGACACAAACAAAATCTGTCAAATTGTTTAGGTTGTTATAAAAAAAATTAACAAAGAAGGTTTTTATGACTGTTGATAGATCTAAATTCTCATATACTAGGTATAGAGGAGGACAATCCCTGACTACATAAGATTTTGTCCTTCAAAATATACTATCAGTGTGGCAAGTGTAAAAAGTGGTAGATCTAGGTGATAAAGACGGATAATCTCAGTCAACACAGTGACAAATCTCTACTAAAACCCATAACTCCAATCAAAACATTTAACAAAATACATTCATGATACCCTAGACCAACTTTCATTTGAAATGGACACAGCTTACTAATGCATGTATATTGTAAATATAAGTATAATCTTTTTTACAGCAATGACTTTAACTAAACTCTAATGCAATCAGTCTTGTTCACTGGTATAAAGTGTACAAGGAAGGAAACAGGGTTACAGAAGGAAAACAAACAAAGTTAGGAAGTTGACACCAAGCTTTTCACATCCGGTCGCCAAATTGAAAGCGTATTACCACTGCATCACCCAATCGTTGTGTATGTTTAAGGTATGCAAAGTGAAAGTGGTCCTAGCCTTGGAGTATCGACAATGTGTATACATTTAGTATCTCAGCAGGAAGAAGATCTAAGTATACATTTGGTGAAGTTAATCTTTCCAACATACATTAAAAATTTCTGGACTTGACAAAACACTCTTCATGCTACATTAGATACCACTTCTTATGATAATCTGTATAACTTGGAAGCCAGTGGACGTTTAAACGGATTTATCAATCACAATAATAACAGAGAATGAGACCCAATAGGGATTTCGTTGTATACGTTTGTTTGATATTTTTATGTTCTTCAAAAAAATAAATAGTTTACCGTCTTTTCTTTCCACTGTTTTTGCTCTAAACCGAATAAAATCTTTGGAAAATCCAAGATGGTCACCTGTTGGCCATTTCGATTATATATTTTCAGTCCCTAAATCAAAAGGGTACAAGTAGGGATCAAAGGGAATCTTACATATGGAATCTAAAAATTATCCATCCAGTTCTTCTCAAGAAATAGTGACAACAATCTTTTTATCATTGTCAAAATCAAAGATGGTCACCTGTCAGTCATTTTATTTATAACCAATCCTAAAATCAAACGGGCACAACCACGGACGAAAGTAATAGTACAATTGGATCAAGTATTTACTGACGAATACGTGTACATAATGATTTACACTGTTGAGAGGAGGCGTAAACACCAGTCACCACTCGTGATTAGCCATATGTCGGAAGTTAAGAAATATATAAAATGCATCGGAAATATCTATCGGCATTTGAGAAGCAAAAGTATTACCGATATGTGGTGGCCTCGTTTCTTCTTCCGCTTCCACATTTGCTCCAATGACCAAGCACAAAAAGAAGCCGACTGCCGTTAACGTCGTGGGGGCCGCCATTTTGCCTATTTTAGTCTGCGTTAGTTTCGTTCCTAAAACCGTTCTGTTATGTCTCCGATTAATATTGGTACTCAATGCAAGAATCGATTCGTTTCCATTCAAATCAATTTTCTCTTTGTTTTTTTTTTGTTTTGTTTTGTTGTACAATGACGATGATTTCATTCACTCGTTGAATAAAAATTAAGATTAAAGCTATATTCTGATAGCTTTACTTCTATGCCGATGTAAACAAAAATATGGCGTCCACGTGCTTTCGTTTAGCCTGGTGTCAGGTGAGAGAATGGGTCCCAAGGAGGATTTTCACGGGTGCATACACAACAGGAAGAAGGCCAGCACCGAGAATAGTTTTCTTGTCGACATTTGTAGCATTCTGCGGGGATAAGGAAAACCAGAAAACGTCACATATAGAAAGAAAACTTAAGGTCCTGTCAAAAATCTGATGAAACATTTACATGTACCTAATCTACTGTATACGGACATATTACACTGTACACTCGTACGTGTCATTATGTATACCAGTCTAACACAATATCATTGTAGTACATTAAAAGTTAATGCTTTGTATTTTACTTTTGTATAAAAGGCTTATCTAGATGGGTTAATTACTATACATAACAGCTGATCGACTCAGATTTGGGTGTCAATTCACATGGATAATTGCTGTATTGACATTATAAAGGTCAAGTTAACCCATTGAAGCGTGGGCCCGTTTGCAATTTTTTTATATGGTCGCATAAGCTTGGTAAATAGTAGCTGCTTGCTACAGACATGGCTTTGGGGAATTTCCCTTCAACCTAATCAAGAGAGAGTGCAGTGAAAACGGAGGGAAATTATCTCCCCTGACTGAAATTATCTACAAGAGCACTGGTAGCCAGGGCAGATTTTATTCTGCAGCAATTTAAATGTAGATTGTAGGTTAAATCAGGAAAGGTCAAGATATCTTAATACTGGCCATGAAAGGCTTATTTCAGGCTCAATTTATTTGAAAGTCAGTAGGTCTGTCTTGTATATCATAAAGATGTACATGGTAAATCCACTGGCCAAATTGATTAACAAAATTGGCCCAGAGGTCCATGGCTCTGTCCTCGTCAGAAACACTGGAAAAATAATGACCTTTATTATACTCCAAATTGGCCTCATATTGGGCATCGATGTAACAGAGGTAATTTTTTATTTCAATGCTTTGGCTAGGATTCGAACCCGGGACCCCTTGATTACAAGTCTGATAGGTTAGTGCTATAGTAGTACACAGTTGTGTACTGTATATAGCCATTTTTAATCCCATGCACCTGGAGCCATTAATATATTTATATGATCCTGACCCTAGTACACTAACAACAGAATACCTACTGAGGAATGCTAGCCTGACATCACTTGATGTCCATTAATATATTTATAGGATCCTGACCCTAGTACACTAACAACAGAATACCTACTGAGGAATGCTAGCCTGACATCACTTGATGTCCATTAATATATTTATAGGATCCTGACCCTAGTACACAAACAACAAAATACCTACTGAGGAATGCTAGCCTGACATCACTTGATGTCCATTAATATATTTATATGATCCTGACCCTAGTACACTAACAACAGAATACCTACTGAGGAATGCTAGCCTGACATCACTTGATGTCCATTGATATATGTATATGATCCTGACCCTAGTACACTAACAACATGTAATTACCTTAAAACAATCGCTAGACTGCAGAATCCATCGACGTCATCAGCCAGGACCACCTCTCACTGGACGTTTCGACTCCTATCCTGGAACGTCCTCAAGGTGGTGAGTCGACAGTGATTGGCCAAATCACTGCCCGTCGATGGATGGCTTCCAGCTCAAATCTTCTCTTCTCCACCAAAGCCAGCTGGACGACTTCTCTGCTGTTGTTGATAGTCGTTGAACAGCTGCCCTTCGGTCTCTTCCCTGGATGCCTAGTGTAGAAAACATCCTCCACATGGACTGTGCAGGGAACCCTCTGCACCCCATCTCTACTGGCAAGACCCACACACTCCATCCTTTTGCTCTCACGTCGTCTGCAAGATCGGCGTACTTCCCTTTCTTCTGCTCATGAGCCTCTTGGCATCGATCCTCCCTGGGGACAGTTAGCTCAATCATTACCATTTTCTTCCCTTGCTGTGACCATAGCAGGATATCTGGACGAAGGTTGGTTTGGACGACATCTGGGAAAACTAGTCTTTGTCCTAAGTCAACCCGCATCTCCCAACTGTTTGCTCCATCTAGTATCCCTCCTTGGTTCACTGCTTTCTTATTGGTTGTCTCTCCAGATCTTACAAAGTTGATGTACGGTTGATGTTTGGTACATTTCCTCTTTTTCTGCCTTTCCTTCTCAAGGGTGTCTGCTAGCTCTCGCAGTACCTTGTTGTGTCTCCATGTATATCTCCCCTGGGTCAGAGCGGTGTTGCACGATGACAATACATGGGCCAGGTTACCCGGTTGGTCACACAGTGGGCAGTTGGGGTTTTCCGTCATCCCCCATCGGTGGAGATTGGTAGGTGTTGGTAGGACATCATACACTGATCACAGAATACCTACTGAGGAATGCTAGCCTGATATCACTTGATGTCCATTAATATATTTATAGGATCCTGACCCTAGTACACTAACAACAGAATACCTACTGAGGAATGCTAGCCTGATATCACTTGATGTCCATTGATATATGTATATGATCCTGACCCTAGTACACTAACAACAGAATACCTACTGAGGAATGCTAGCCTGATATCACTTGATGTCATCACTTGAATACCTACTTAGGAATGCTAGCCTGATATCACTTGATATATTAATATATTTATAGGATCCTGACCCTAGTACACTAACAACAGAATACCTACTGAGGAATGCTAGCCTGATATCACTTGATGTCCATTAATATATTTATAGGATCCTGACCCTAGTACACTAACAACAGAATACCTACTGAGGAATGCGAGCCTGACATCACTTGACTCAACAATCAAACTTCTGTCTGTAACTACAGTGGCTTTATCAGATGTTGAAAAAGAATATGCAAGGGTAAGTGGGAAACGTGTTCAGAATTTTCTCACCCAACCAGATTATAAAGTAGAGCAGTTCTTTTGGTCTTCTTAAACTCAACAACTGGTTTGATTTTGAAAAATGAGCACTGTGAAGTTGTGTAAAACAGGAAGATTTTGTAAAACATCTGATGTGTGTGGTTCAACATAGAACCTTATGATCTGATTGTATCACACTATTTCTCTTCAGCGCCTTGTTGGAGAGTGGTAATTACTAACCAGACCTTATTTATGTAGAGTAAAGCAAACATGACAAATGAAGGTTAGAATTGCAAGCATTTCAGGCCATATTTCCATCTGTAGGCATTTACACAAAGTCATGAGAAAATTGAATTATATATAAACATGTCTTTTTCAGTGGACATTTGTTTTGGTAAAATTTATGAAGTTCAGGTTGACTGTCCTTGGCAAACCTGAAGAGGAAGAACGAGTCTTTGACATGATATTGCAGACTAGAAGCAAACTTACCGAACTGAAAGAGAGGCGACGAGTAAGTGGAATATGTGATAGTAGTTCTATTTCATCCATCCACATGAAAAAAGAATATTTGTGACTTTTGTTTATGATATTTTACATTTTTGATAATGACTCTATAGGAATTCACTTTTCAGAAAATGTTGCTGTTTTGCTACAAGCATAAAAACAGATTTGTCAAGCAATGTTTTCTGAGAATTTTGGACAATCATCATTATTATGACATTCTTAACGGCCGGTCAACACGTAAAAGGTCATTAGGGCCATCAACCGATAAAACACACAGTGATCCAAAAAGGAAATAACATTAAACAAACTAAAAGGTAAAAGACAAATGCTAAAAATCTTCATTGGGTATATTATGATTAAAATGATATGTCATAGTCTATTATATAGACCAACATCTTTCAGGTAACCTAGAAATTTACAAATCTCAACAGTTTCAAAAGGGGTTTTTAGACTTGTAACATTATGATAAGAAAATTCTCAAGTAGACAGAAGGTCAATGCAGTCAGTAAAAATGTTTAACAGTGAATTACTCATCACATCCTATGCATCAAGGGTTATCTTTGCCTTTCAACGTATGTGAATGTGTAAGGTACGTATGGCCGATCTGAAGACGGACAAGGACACCTTAGTCTCAGTGGTTGTCTCTATAGCACGGAGACCATTCACCAGTGACAGGTTTTACAGAGTGCAATTTAATGTTGGTATATTGATTCCATTCCTCCTGCCACAAAAATAATAGAATTTTATTTTAATGTATTCATGCATAGCGAAGTTAATTGAAGATTTCAAGTAGTGAAGATGCATGGATATCTTAATAAAATTTTTGTTGATATTTCATTGTGTACTGAGGTTGGAAATACTGAAAATTCAGGAAACAAGAATGATCTTTAGAAGGTACTTTCCTGGAAAAAAAAACAACCAAAACAAAACCAAAAATAAGGGGGAGGTCGAGTAGGGGGGTTTATTTGTTTAAAAATGTGTCAAAAAATAGATTTAGTATCTAAATCTGTTAATTAGTCTGATCCTTAAAGGTTCACTCAATAATTGATATTTTTTTTCAGGATTTGACTCTTTTGTACCAGACAGTGACTACCATGGTCTCTGCTGCAGCTGAAGCGGCACTAATATCAGGTATACATGGAGTATTACTTTTCTGTAGATGTATGATTTTTATAACAAGTATGTACAGGTCCAACAATACTGGCAGGAGAAATACAGCACATTTCTTGTTTCCTCATTGATCTATCCAAAAGTCTCATGACTGTAGTGAAAACACACGGTTTGATACTAAATATCACCTTGATTTTAGTGATAATAGAAGCATTCAATGCTAACAGGTGACCTTGACTTGTCAGGCAACTTGTATACATTATGGTTGTCATCTATGGACCTCATATTTATTGTTCTGATTTCATAAAACACTGCTTTCAGAGGATATAGATTTTGACTGCCCCCAGAGGGTTTAGATTTTGACTGCCCACGGAGGGTTTAGATTTGTAAAACACTGCCCCCAGAGGGTTTAGTTTTGTAAAACACTGCTCCCAGAGGGTTAAGTTTTGTAAAACACTGCCCCCAGAGGGTTTAGATTTTGTAAAACACTGCTCCCAGAGGGTTAAGATTTTATAAAACACTGCCCCAAAGGGTTTAGTTTGGTAAAACACTGCCCCCAGAGGGTTTAGATTTTATAAAACACTGCCCCAGTGGGTTTAGTTTGGTAAAACACTGCCCCATAGGGTTTAGTCTGGTAAAACACTGCCCCATAAGGTTTAGTTTGGTAACTCACTGCCCCCAGAGAGTTTAGTTGGGTAAAACACTGCTCCCACCGGATTTAAATCTATAGTTAGTGACAGATTTTTCATCTGAAAATGTCTTCTGGTTGTTGATTTCTGAGGATGATGACAGTCTGAGATGCCATATAACCTACAGAATTATGTTATTTGTTGCCTTTAACAGATATGTTTCTGTGAATCTAAACAGTTGTCACTTGTCTTGATAATATTAATACAGTATTTAATACTTCAGTTCTAAGTAATGACACATTCATAATTGTCCTCCAAAAACAATTATTTTTGTTGATATATATATATTAATTAAAGGTTCTTATTGAATTTTCACTTGTTTGTTTTTACTGTTTTAAATGCTCCACTTAATTGATTTTCAGGTGTGGGGTATCAGGTATCATCTGCTAACGAGGCCATGCAAAGTTCACAAGTGTATCTGCGAGGTGTTCAAGAAACAAGTCTGGAGGCAGAAAAGGAAATGACTGACATCCAGGTGGAAACCATAGAAAAAGAAAGCAAGCATGCCGAGGAAAAGGAAAAACAAAATAAACAGAAGGATCAACAAGAAGGGGAGAAGTCAGTAACACCAAAAAGCTGTGATGGGGAGAAGACGACTGGTAGAGATGAAAATCAAGGGAGACAACTACCTAAGAGCTCAGATGGGGAGAAGACGACTGGTAGAGATGAAAATCATGGGAGACAAGATGTTGTTTTTGCAGATATCAAAATGGATGATCTAGATAGACTGAACAGGGAACATTATGTTTCCTTTGTAGATGTAGAAGAGAACAATTGTAACGATAGCAATGAGAGCGATAATATATTCAAAGAAAATGTGAAAGTTGATGCAGATGATAAAATGACAGAAAAAGAAATATTTGAAGAGGAAATTAAAAAAGATAAATATGATCCAGATCAATGGAAGGAATGCTGACATGTAAGATTGTAGGTCAGTTGTAGATGTGTATACAGATGTTTTTTTGGTTGCTTTGGTAACCATGTCACTACACTTACGTATTTGTGTAATGGGTAAGCTTTAATAATATATATTAAGGAGAAAAGGAAGTAACAAGGGAATGGTACATTTTAAGGCAAGGGCAAGGTCATACTCATGATGCTGATATCAATATATAGGACTGAAACTGATGATTTAAGACAGATATTTTGTACAATTTGCAATTGTGGAGGAGCGCGTTGTGTGTTGTAGTTTCTACTTAGCAAGTGTCGTCATAGTGATGAATAATAACTCCTAATTACAACAAATTTAGTCATAGTGATGACATAGGCTAATTAGAAAGAATATAAAGGTTTCCTATGTGATAAAAATGTTCTGTAGTGAAGACTTGATATTCAACAAATTCATTGAGGTTTGGTTTCAAGTCTGTAAAACAATTGCTGGGATAATGAATTGTACTTCTCATGTATAGCCTAGATAGGGCTAAGTTTATCCACACAGAAGGACTGCTAAGCTTATCTACACAGAAGGACTGCTAAGCTTATCTGGACAGAAGGACTGCTAAGCTTATCTGGATAGGGGACTGCTAAGCTTATCTGAATAAGGGACTGATAAGCTTATCTGAATGGGGGACTGCTAAGCTTATCTGAATAGGGGACTGATAAGCTTATCTATACAGAAGGACTGCTAATCTTATCTGAATAGGGGACTGATAAGCTTATCTGAATGGGGAACTGCTAAGCTTATCTGAATAGGGGACTGATAAGCTTATCTGAATGGGGAACTGCTAAGCTTATCTGAATAGGGGACTGCTAAGCTTATCTATACAGAAGGATTGCTAAACTAATCTGGACAGAAGGACTGCTAAGATTATCTGAATAGGGGACTGCTATGATTATCTGAATAGGGGACTGCTAAGCTTATCTGAATAGGGGACTGCTAAGCTTTTCTGAATAGGGGACTGCTAAGTTAATTACGATTGGGGAAATGTTGAGGTTCTTGTATCTGTAAAATCCTTGGGTTTTAGCCCTTAATAACTATCTCTCCCCACATAAGTCTGGGAAAGTATTGTTTATGTGCTGCTCATCTGTTTGTCCATACATTATTCTGTCAATATTGGTTTCCATGCCAAAAAAAGGCTTCTGTTCTTAATACTACATGACCATATTTGGTATACAGGTTGCTTGTATAGAGAGTTTGCTTTGAATTTTGCTTCTGGTCAAAGGTCACAAAGTATGTTATTTAATTAGAGCAAAGGTAGCATTTGACTTGTTCCAATAGGTTATGTTCTGATGGACGGACTATGATCACAGGTACACACGTTGTTTGGATTGAGTGATCACATTGATAATCTGCAACTGAAATATTGTATCAAGTATGTTTCTTTCTGTGCAACAAGTTCTGTCCGAATAAGCCATTGCTGTCTGTATTCAGTATGCAGGTTGCCTGTGTGATTCTGCTGCATTGGAAATACTACCCAGTTCCACAAGGTAAAACGGCATGTAATCTGTTTCTACAAATATAATCTTCTCCTATTTTTAAATGCTGGATTTCGGTGTCTTATAGGCATGGCTCATGCAAGTTGAAACAACGATCTGATTTTTCCAGACAAAAAACCAAACAACGCACATTTCGCTTATGTAAATAAGTGTGCTTTACCATTATATCATGTGTTTTATGCTGTCATTTATTTAATGACGTCATGAATTGATAAATAAATAAAAAGAACAGAGTAAAATTAGACATAAGAATGTGTTCTATCTACGAGTATTTCATACTTTTTCCAGTACATATTTACTGTTCTTCTTTACCTACATCCATGGCGTTAAAAAAAGGGTGTCTGCATAGTGATGGACAAGGGGAGGCTATTCGAAAAAAAAACCTGCAATGTTCATCTGCTTCTTGACAATTTATGCTAAAATATCTTCATACTTTAAGTAAAATAAACACCAGTTTCTGAAAGATTTGCATGCTTCAATGTTTTCTCATTCTGAAAAAATCAAGCAAAATATCTTACATCAAAGAAAAGTATTACATCAAAAGTGGATTGGACATATTTTATCAAATAAAGTACAAACCAAAATGTTGGCCCACATTTTTTCCCCATATAAAGGCAAGTTGTCTGTGATTTCAGGAACTGGTGTATTTCAACTGTGATATTGACCTAGAAATTTTGTGAATTCTGTGTAGATGAGGTTCAAATATTATTACATGGAACGAAATCACAACATTGTAAATACAATGTACAGTTGAAACTCGTCTCGAAATCGCTTGAGTCGAAATTCCGGTTGTGTCAAAGTAATTTTCAAGTTGCAATGTTTTTCCTTCTTTATCTCTGTAATTGGTTCCGACATAGATTTAAAAGATGTCGGTCATTACACCGGTGACGTTTAACCAACTGCGAACAACGTAGCAACGACTGAGTTTGATTTATATATATAGATGAACATTTTCATGACATGTCTCTCCTAAGATAAAATTTTAAGACTTGTCGTAAGTTACCTTCTGATATGATATATGATGTTAACATTTAGATAGAAGTTTGAAATGTTTTCGAAACATTTCTTGTGGAAAGTCTTAACAGTGAATAAAAGATATATATATATTGAAATTCATGATAGGTGTTTATGTAAGCTGCCCTAATGTAGAACCTGCAGTTGCTGCCCTCAGTGACTGTTAATTACATGTACAAATATCAAAATGTTAAATGTTGACTTGTTTCTGTAAGCTGCCCTGATATAGAACCTCCAGTTGCTGCCCTCAGTAACTGTTAATTACATGTACAAATATCAAAATGTTAAATGTTCGATTATTTGTGAATGTGCTGGCAGAGACGTATATAGTAAAAGGATGATGTAATAATGAACTTGGAAATCAACAACAGGCCGACTTCCATCTTGGATTTAACATTTTAAACTTCATGTAACTTGTTAAGTTCTGAATTGACCTATTTTCTTACATTGCAGATGGTTGTCCCTGGTTTTTTATTTTGTAACTGATTGAAACATCATTTAAATCAACCAATGGCTCATCATTCAATTCTATATGTATGTTAATTTAGACCTATCCTACAAGCAAATGCGTCATAGATTAATGTTCAAGGTCACTTTTTGGAATTTAAGTTTCATCCCAATTTTTCATAACTGCAAGTTTACAGTGCCATCAGTCATGATGATACTTGTTAAATATTGTTAAATATAGAAAATACTTCTTCCTGATAATTTCCAGTTGGAGGATGGACTATTTTTACGTTTCATATGTTATACTGTAATAACGTTTATTCCTTTATATCGATACATTATGCACACACAGCATCTTTAAATGTCCTCGGTAGTTTAATTTCCTCAGATATTGACTCATCCAATTCTGTTAAAACTTTGACTTTGTGTTAGATTTTCTGCAGCATTTCAGAATCTAAATGACATCCTTCGTATCCACCATGACATTGATAGCAACCAATCTGAGGACTGGTTGAAATTTGAAATTAACATAAAATATTTTGTTGCATTGTACAACCGCATTGTAACAGGGATATCGGAATACTAGAAGATCGGCGGTTCCACCGAGGACAAGAAACTTCGGTCATTGCAGACATGGCGGAAAACCAACCAAACACATATACAAGGCTACATTGTAAGTTCATAGCACTGGCCGCCTGACTAAATGGCGGACAACACCATGGTATCGTCGTGACTCTATTAACGCAGTTTATCGATCGCTACAACAACTCACTCGTGCATGTGAGTTTACCTTAGGAATTGTTTTATTTGTGTGGTTGGTAAACGTGATTCCGGAGAGAAATATCGATGTGTTGTTACGTGGTCGACAGGCAGCCTCTTGGATTTTGGCTAGAAATATTTTTATTGCTATTTCTTAAGAAGTACTGCATAGACATCTCAAAATTCATATGTATGCTCCCTCTGGTCTCTCCTTTTCCTTGTTTGATTTTGGGACTGATCAGAAGAAACAAAATGGCTTCTAGACAGACAGTTTGGATTAGGCAGGCATACATTATCGTTCCTGGAAGGTTCAAATATCTTATCATTAAGAGCAAAAGCAGATAAGAGAAGAGAAAAGAAGGGAAGAGATCCAACATTCAAAGAGCATATAAAGATCAAACAATGGTGGACACCAAGATCTCGCTGGGATTTCTTGTTTTTAATGTTTCGTTTGATCCTAAACATAAGACAAATTATCGCAGCAATTCTTTCAAATCATCATTTTGATAAATGATTCTTCTATATACGCAAAGTACAATTAATCTGGCCCGAAAGGTCAAGATGACCTATAGCCATCGTGCTTCGGCCGTCGTTATGCGCCGACCATGCGCAGTCCGTCGTGCGTAAACTTTTTCTTTAAAACCCGACTCCTCTTTCATAGCTGGGTGGATTTCAACAGATATGGTCTGATGCATCATTTGGTGAGGGAAACCATTTCTTAAATTCAGAATTTTGATTCGACCCCAAAGGGGGAGGTACTGAAATTAGATTAAAAACGCTACTTCTCCTTTCTGCATGGTTGGATTTTATGGATCTGGGGTCGGGGCCCCAAAAGAGGAACTTAGACAATAGTTTGTTTTAAAACGCTACTCCTGTTTAATGCTTGAATGCATTTCAAACAAATTTGGTGTAAAATATCATTGAAGATGGGGAATCATTTCTTAAATTCGGAAAATTTATTTGACCCCTAGTTAATAGGAAAGACCTTGATCCGCTTGAAAGGTCACATGGATCAAATCTGTTAAAATCTGTTGATTTCTTCTCAATAACCAAAAGGCCAAAGATGATGATATTAGCTTTGTATCATGCGAGGATGTAGGGCTTAAAACTTCATTAATATGATGAATGACATTGGTACGTTTTCAAGATAAAATATATCAAATGTATTAAAATGTGTAGATAATTTCTTCTCACTAACCAAAAGGCCTAGGGTGCTAATGTTGGACCAACTTCCAAGCTCAAACGTGTTAAAAAGGCCAATGGTCTTAATACTGGGCCTCTAGCTTGCTTTTTCAACAAGTAATACGTCCGAAATAATGGCAATAGTGCAGGTATAAAGAGAACGATTTCAAGTGTGCAAAATTCATTTCATTTAGACCTATTTTACCTTTTTCTTATATAGGTCTTTATAGTGACGTGACCGTTAAGGCCACTAAGCCTTTAGTTAGTATTAATTGTCTCGGAGAACATCGTTGATATTTCATTGACCTTTGCAAGAAATACTTGATTTCACTTCGTGTCAGTGAGTGGATTCTCAAATACCCGTTAATTTCCTGGGTCAAAGTAATGCTGACAAACCCACAATCGTGATTTACCAAGGTAACATTGTAAAGCTGTCGATATCACAGCTGTGATTTACCATGGTAACAGTATTGTAAAGCTGACGATATCACAGCTGTGATTTACCATGGTAACAGTATTGTAAAGCTGACGATATCACAGCTGTGATTTACCATACTAACAGTATTGTAAAGCTGGCGATATCACAGCTGTGATTTACCATAGTAACAGTATTGTAAAGCTGGCGATATCACAGCTGTGATTTACCACGGTAACAGTATTGTACAGCTGGCGATATCACAGTCGTGATTTGTCAAGGTAACAGTATCGTACAGCTGACGATATCACAGCTGTGATTTACCAAGGTAACAGTATTGTACACCTGACGATATCACAGCTGTGATTTACCATGGTAACAGTATTGTACAGCTGACGATATCACAGCTGTGATTTACCAAGGTAACAGTATTGTACAGCTGACGAAACCAAAGTCGTGATTTACCATGGTAACAGTATTGTACACCTGACGATATTACAGCTGTGATTTACCATGGTAACAGTATTGTACAGTTGACGATATCACAGTCGTGATGTACCATGGTAACAGTATTGTACAGCTAACGATATCACAGTCGTGATTTACCAAGGTAGCAACAATATTGTACAGCTGACGAAACCAAGGCGTAAACATTGGCAACCTTTCAAACATGTAACATGATGTTCGTGTGGTTCTTTGTTAATAACTACATGCACTCTTTATTGTAATTTGAACGTAAATAATTTCTGTACTTTTATTGCGAAACCGTTGATATTGTGTTTTAATATGATGCATATGTACATCGATGCGATTAAGACAGATAACGAAAACATGCTTATATATTTATCATTTATTTATTTATTTATTTTATACACAACACGTCAAGTAAGTTTTGATAATTTCTTTTTTCCTAATGATGATTTTCCAGCAAGCTATATACCTCCGGACGAGGATGGAAATGTGGAGATTATAATAACAGTGGAAATGACTGACGGTAACTCATTTCGGATAAACGATGAAGCTGAATGTCGCGTAGACGTTACAGCAAAGGAGGGGTACGTAGAATATTTTGTTACTACCTGTCACATTTACCTTGGAACTTGACTTACTAAAAACGGTGTTTTAATAGTACATATTTATTATGACACGACTCAGATGACTTAAAATTACGTTACACTGTCAAAATTATATTGCAGAATTATGTGTTAAGGATCAGTCTGTATCCATTCGGAATTCAGTTGATCAATATCGAAAATAGCGTCATGCATTTGTTGCAATGACCTCACGATTAGTTCGCATTTCTTGGAGAAATTAATTTGCTGGAATAAAAACAGAAAAATATTGCCTCTTTTAGCAGACACTGGTCAATCCAGTGTGGTTATTATTATTATTATTATTATTGATATAACAAATGTAAATGTGAACTAGTTCATATATGAAAAACATGACTCAATATTATCATTATCAGTTTATGCTTCCGGAATGCAAACGAAATATATATATATAAAAAACAAACAAACAATCGTCGGACCAATGTTAAACACACATCGTAGTGCTTACAAGGGAAGATCCAACAGCATTGCTTTTCAAACAACTCTATGGAGCCTTAGATATAGATACAAAGTCCACGATGAAACGTTTAATTTGTGTTTTAGAAAAAAATAAAATCAACATGTCCTATGTCAATTACATTAAGAGGTTCGTTGTTGTTATACTTACCATTTCAGATATGTTACAGAAGTCCTGATACATAAATTAGATAAGAAAGGGACAATTGTCCACAGCTATCAGTGCAAAGAAATTTACTCACCTTACGATACTCAGGAGATCAAGATAGAGGTAAGAGGCTTGGAATGACTGAAATAATTCCTGTAAGGTTATATCAAAATAGTGGTAAGAGGCTTGGAATGACTGAAATAATTCCTGTAAGGTTATATCAAGATAGTGGTAAGAGACTTGGAATGACTGAAATAATTCCTGTAAGGTTACATCAAGATAGTGGTAAGAGGCTTGGAATGACTGAAATAATTCCTGTAAGGTTATATCAAGATAGTGGTAAGAGGCTTGGAATGACTGAAATAATTCCTGTAAGGTTATATCAAGATAGTGGTAAGAGGCTTGGAATGACTGAAATAATTCCTGTAAGGTTATATCAAGATAGTGGTAAGAGACTTGGAATGACTTAAATAATTCCTGTAAGGTTACATCAAGATAGTGGTAAGAGGCTTGGAATGACTGAAATAATTCCTGTAAGGTTATATCAAGATAGTGGTAAGAGACTTGGAATGACTGAAATAATTCCTGTAAGGTTACATCAAGATAGTGGTAAGAGGCTTGGAATGACTGAAATAATTCCTGTAAGGTTACATCTCCACATCCCATTATAGTTCCATTTTAGTCATTTCAATTTCAATCTTCCTTAATTCAAACGACAGAAAACAGGTTTTTTGTAATATTTTTTCTTTGTCTATTTATTTATTTATTTATTTATTTACTTTTTCCAGACGAGAGAAAAAGCTGTGGTTCTAAAGCTGAAGAAGACAACTTCAGATCCATGGTCGGTTTCTGAATTTCGCTAATAGATCTCACGAGGAATCAAGTCTTCATTTCTGAAGAAAATTAAGCCAAACATAAGGCTTGGCGATGACTGGAGAAAAAATCTTTTTTAAACGAGGATATCATTATATTTATAAGGTATTGCAAAATTATCAAAGTATGGTAAAACAAATCTGAAACTGCCTTCCCTAACGAGACTTCTCTCAATTCTAAAAATGAAAATAAAATTGGAACCATCACAGATAAAGTGTACTTTGTTGAATATTCTTGTAAAAAATTGACGATGACAACGGAAGACAACTGTAACTTTTTATAAAAAAAAACTGAACTCTGCCTGTGACACCTTAACACCTAAAAATAAGGTATTCTTGAAAACAGGGACGTATGTTACAGAGAGATAATAACTTAATATTTCTTGAGTAACGCTGTAGGGGAGAGAATCGAGCTAACTAGTCTTGTAATATTATTAACCAATTTGCTCCAATGTACATTGCTCTGACTTTTCTGAACAAAATAATTTCTGATAACTTTTGTTGTTTATAAAATTAAAATGCAATTACAGCCGAAATACCACCTTATATTGTACACCACCTTCAGCCCGAAACACCACCCTAAATTGTACACCACCTTCAGTCCGAAATACCACCCTATATTGTACACCCCATTCAGCCCTATATACCATCCTATATTGTACACCACCTTCAGTCCGAAATACCACCCTATATTGTACACCCCATTCAGCCCGAAATACCACTCTATATTGTACACACTTTCAGTCCGAAATACCATCCTATATTGTACATACACCACTTTCAGTCCGAAATACCACCCTATATTGTACATACACCACTTTCAGCCCGAAATACCACCCTATATTGTACACCACTTTCAGCCCGAAATACCACCCTATATTGCACACCACTTTCAGTCCGAAATACCACCCTATATTGTACATACACCACTTTCAGCCCTACATACCATCCTATATTGTACACCACTTTCAGCCCGAAATACTACCCTATATTGTACACCACTTTCAGTCCGAAATAACACGCTATATTGTACATACACCACTTTCAGCCCGTGATACCATCCTATATTGTACACCATTTTCAGCCCTACATACCACCCTATATTGTACATACACCACTATCAGTCCGAAATACCACCCAATATTTTACATGCACCACTTTCAATCCGAAACAACACGCTATATTGTACATACACCACTTTCAGCCCTACATACCATCCTATATTGTACACCACTTTCAGCCCGTAATACCTCCCAATATTTTACATACACCACTTCAGTCCGAAACAACACGCTATATTGTACATACACCACTTTCAGCCCTACATACCATCCTATATTGTACACCACTTTCAGCCCGTAATACCACACTATATTGTACATACACCACTTTCAGTCCGAAATCCCACCCTATATTGTACACCACGTTCAGCCCAACCATCTTAACCAACAGTAGATAAAGGACTAGAGGGAGATACCATCTTAACTAACAGTAGATAAGTTCTAACGGGAGATACCATCTTAACCAACAGTAGATAAATTTCTAGCGGGAGATACCATCTTAACTAACTGTAGATAAATTTCAAGTGGGATATACCATCTTAACAAACAGTAGATAAAGTTCTAACGGGAGATATCATCTTAACCAACAGTAGATAAAGGTCTAGCGGGAGATACCATCTTAACCAACAGTAGATAAAGTTTTAGCGGGATATATCATCTTAACCAACAGTAGATAAAGTTCTAGCGGGAGATACCATCCTAACCAACAGTAGATAAAGTTCTAGCGGGAGATACCATCTTAACCAACAGTAGATAAAGTTCTAGCGGGAGATACCATCGTAACCAACAGTAGATAACGTTCTAGCGGGAGATACCATCTTAACTAACAGTAGATATAGTTCTAGCGGGAGATACCATTTTAACTAACAGCAGATATAGTTCTAGCGAGAGAAACCATCTTAACCAACAGTAGATAAAGTTCTAGCGGGAGATACCATCTTAACCAACAGTAGATAAAGTTCTAGCGGGAGATACCATCTTAACCAACAGTAGATAAAGTTCTAGCGGGAGATACCATCTTAACCAACAGTAGATAAAGTTCTAGCGGGAGATACCATCTTAACCAACAGTAGATAAAGTTCTAGAGGGAGAAACCATCTTAACCAACAGTAGATAAAGGTCTAGCGGGAGAAACCATCTTAACTAACAGTATTTAACGTTCAAGTGGAATATACCATCCTAACCAAAAGTAGATAAAGTTCTAGCGGGAGATACCATCTTAACTAACAATATTTAACGTTCAAGTGGAATATACCATCCTAACCAACAGTAGATAAAGGTCTAGCGGGAGAAACCATCTTAACTAACAGTATTTAACGTTCAAGTGGAATATACCATCCTAACCAACAGTAGATAAAGTTCTAGCGGGAGATAACGACATCAGATAGATTTCCTGCATAAAATGCATATCGTGGAATCAAAACAATGTCAATGTTGTACATAGGAAAGTATCACGTGAGAATAAAAGAACTAGAATAAACAGGGGGAAATTTAAAATGAAGAATATACCAGCAGTGAGACTTTAGGACATTAGTTACATCAGCGGTGGGTCGCCATAATCCATTACAGTGCAGAAGGAATGGATCTCGCACTTTTTTCTTTTATTTGCCGATGGTTGAAGAAAAGCAAAAAAATCCCCATTATCTTTTACCATTAGTATCTTGATCAAATAGGAGAACAGGAACGCCCTTCTTCTAGTAACATAGGATTTTGTTTTCTTGGGGGTTCGGGAGGGGAGTTGGGGGACCATTTATTCCTATCCATGAGTGTAGAATTACATTACAGTTTGATTTGATATATGTTATTTGTACACGGTGTGTATAGTCCACATAACAAAGTGCTCTTGATGTTTTGTTATAGTCTACAAAGCTGCAATAAAAATACAAAATACTTGAACACTCCGCGTCTTATATTTCATCATGAAACGTTATTGTTGTGACGTTGAATTTTCACCTTTTTTTTCACTTTTCTTGTTAATATCATCGCACTTTTCCTTGCCAATAGCAGAACAGCTTGTGTTGATTATTTGTTTTGCGCCGTAGCGGTAGTCGCACTTGCCCTTGACAGTCCAGACCGACTGCCCGTTTATGAACTTTAAGTCACCAGGCTTTCGTTTGTTTGACAAATTGATTATCTCGACTAAATCTCCTCTAGCAATGTAGGCTTTTTCCCAACTATCCGGATCTATGATTTCAACCTCCATCAAACCACTTACATGAACTTTTGCCTCGAAATTGCCCTTATATTCTTCTTCAAGAATTTCCATTACAGCAGTGACTTGATTTTGCGCAGGCACGGGGATTTGACTGTCTGTAGACCAGGTCAAAGTTCGCGCCTTACTTGTTTTAGTAGAGTTTACAGAAGATTTGTCTTTAGCCAATTGTCCGCCAATTTTTGTATTCAAAATTTTTGGAATTCCTACTTGAAATGATGCTGTCGTACCTCCTTTCTTGAAACCGGTTGTAATGGTGATATCCTCAGTGATTAAAGTGGAGCGTTCGCACTTAAAAGCATGCTTCTGACTTTCACCTGTGTAGTTGTTGAATGTCGATTCAAACACACATTGACTCATTTTATTTGGTATAGATTTTCCTGCTTCCTCAGGCTGATTGGTGATTTGTGTGAATATAGTTTCTCCCTGTTTTTCGATAATGGTTTTATCAAAATGAGGCACTATTATCATATCTTTTCCCTTATACCGCTCTAGTCTATCGCTGATCTTTAAAGCATTTTCCCACTTTTCCTTTGCCCAACTCTTCACTATGGCATCCAAATCAGTGATGGTGTCTTCAGAGTTCCTGTCTCCTTCCATTCCTGTGTAAAAGTACAGAATGATTATATGGTCATTGAATTACGATTTCGAGATAAACGTCAAAACATAAAAACGATTTAAAATAAAACGATCATTCGTACGTAAAATAAAGCAACATGTGTTACACACATATTTCATATTCAATAACTGAGAAGGTATGCAAATTATTGCTCGTAATTACAAAATCACCTGACTGTATATAGTGTCGTTACATTTTTATGCAATCATACAAACTATCCAAACTCATGTATTTACTGATAGTTTGCAGGCTATTAATCAATATCCCAAAATCTTCTAGCGTCTTACTGTGCATTTGACGTAATGTTTTTTGGAAGTTTGCGTAAGATATTTGTTAAATGTCCGATGATACACTGTACTTGCGGATATCATATCCGCTCTATCGTTGTCCGTTTACAATCGACCAATCCAAGGTTATCTCCCTTGCGTACATCTGGCGTGCGGTAAGCATTGCATACTGGTTTTTTTAACAGATTAATCAATTTTCCAAACACGTAATTACAGTTGTTCTTTGAAAAAAAAAGTTGCATGAGTTCATTTACTTTTCTTTCTTTTCATTACATCACATTTTACATTTGGAATTATCTGCCATGTTGGGTTCTGTTGTTGTCATCTTGTTAACATTAAAAAAAATAAATGGACAGTGTATATCTGATATAACCGGATAAAACTGCATTCAAACCAACATAGAATACCATACATGTACATATTTGGAGAAGCAACTGATTTATCTTTACAAGTTTCCGATTTTAGCCATGGTCACTGAGTAGGCAAGACACATTTATGCTGCTCTGATATACTTTCATGCTGGTTTTTGGAGGATTTCAGTAATTTTCTTTGTACCAAGCATGTATAAGTAGTTTTACTATTAGATGATGGATTTGGATTCTTGGTATTATTATGTATCACTGTGCTAGTAGAAAAGGACCTGCCTCTGCAACCAGGCACAGCCTGGCTGTGGATGATGACTTTAAGGAAGATATTGCCAAGATAAAAGCACAGCTGGATAATGTAGCAACAAAGGGAGACATAGAGACATTGTCATCTGGGTTAGTGAAAACAGCAGACATAGAGAAGATAGTGAGTAAGATTGTAGAAGAGATGAGGAAAACCCTGGAAAAGGATATAGACAGAAAGATCTCGGAACAGATGGGGAAGGTCAAGCAGGAGATGGATAGCCTGAATATTCATAACCACCGACTACAGGAATCCCTACAGGCCAAACAGAAGGAAATAGACGAAATGAGGGGACTTCTGAAAGAACGACAGAAAGAAATGGAGAGAGTAAGGAATGAGTTAAGTAAAGAAATGGTAGAGGTGAAAAGGATGGCGATGGATAGGATACGGAAAGGAAATTATAATGAACAGTACAGCAGGCGAAACAATATCAAGGTAATGGATTTCCCTGAGCTAGAAAGTGTGAAGGAGGAGAACAAGAGGGACATAGTGGGTGACTTCTGTAGGGAGGTGAACAAGAAGATTCCAGTATCAATTAGCCCTAACGACCTTTTGGCAGTACACCGGGCTCCTGGGAGAGACATTCATAGGGCGCGGCCATTAGTTGTGAAGTTCATGAGGAAAGAGGTGAGGAACAATGTGATAAGACACAAGAAGGAGCTACGAGAGACAATGAAACTGGTGGATGATGTCACAAAAGATAACGCTGGACTAATAAATAGACTAAAGAGGGACAGTCGAGTCGAGAATGCATGGTATTTTAATGGACCCGTTTTTGCATCATTTGATGGTGTGAGAAAGCCAGTGGACCTGTTTGACACTATCGATGATGTGTTCAAAAGAAGGTAGACGTGCAGACTAATGTATTGTGGTGTGTATATTATTATTTATGTGTTGGGATTTCTTAGTGAATTCTAAAGGAAGTGTTTCCAAAATATTCTGATAAAATGGAGTACAATGTGTAAGAGATGAAATTTTTTTTCCACGAAGAGGTAAGAAATATATATATATATATACATGTATATCCCTATTCACAATGTCAAATATGCCACCAGCTACGTATAGGTTTCGTTTGATGAAGCTTTAGGCGCATGTCTTAAAATACAAGTATCTTTTGTAAATCAGAGCATGCAGTGTAGCCAGTAACCATGCTGAACCAACTATGTTTTTTACTGTGTTGTATGGAAATGAAAGAAGTGTGAATGTGGTCAAACAGATGTTAAATTTACAATTAACCAATACTTAAAGTTGTTTCAACATTTTTACAGTAATTGTGACGGATAGTGGGAGGGGAGTGGGTGGGTACCTCTGGGATGGGCTAGCTGTACACTGGGTGCTCTACTTCTGTAGCTATGGGTAGTATAAAGATAATGTCTATGAATGTAAGGGGACTGAACTCTGACAGGAATAAGAGGAGGGATGTGTTTCACTGGACAAAAAAGAAACAATTTGATATTTTATGTTTACAAGAAACACACTGTGTTGACAATGTAGAAAAAATATGGGAAAGGGAATGGGGTTACAAATGTGTCTTTAGTAATTACACTTCAAGGTCAGCAGGGGTAGCTATATGTTTGAGAAATACATTTGAGTATGTGATACATGGTAGCAGAATAGATGCTGGGGGAATTTTTATTATACTTGATATTTCTATTAATCAAAACAGATTGTCCCTAGCTTGTATATATGGGTCAAATCAAGATTCTCCTGTGTTCTTTGAGAACTTTCTGTCCACCTTACAAGTCTTTAATAATACTTCTATAATATTATGTGGGGATTGGAACACGGTACAGAATAGAGAAATAGAAACACACAACATTTTACACAATAATAACCCTAAATGTCAAGAGGCAATAAAAAATATTATTTCTACATATGACCTTATAGACCCATGGAGGTGTTTTTATCCAGACTTAAGAAACTTAACCTGGAGGCAGAAAAACCCTATTCGCCAAAGTAGGCTAGATTATTTTTTAGTGTCAGAAGATATATTTTCAAAAACAAAAGATTCAAAAATTATACCTGGTTATAGAACAGATCACTCATTTATAGTATTAGATGTAAATTTTAGTACATGTAATGTAGAACGTGGTTGGGGATATTGGAAACATAATGCTTCTCTATTAGAAGATTTAACTTATGTACAACAAGTCAAGGATTGTATTACGCAGACTATAGATGAATATATTGTGGAAGGTGATAGAAATAACATTGAAAATATTGTATTGCGGGTAAATGACCAAATTTTTTTGAAATTTTAAAAGTAAAAATTCGCTCTCTTTCTATTTCCTATTCAATTGCAAAAGCAAAACGTAAACGAAAACTTGAGAAAGATTTAGAATAAGAGATTGAAGAACTTGAAAAACAAATGAATCTTAACCCTACTGATAACTTATGGGAAGAATTCAGTAACAAAAAACAGGAACTTGAATCAATGAGGAAAACTAAAGTAGATGGTCTTCTTTTAAGGTCAAAAGCAAACTGGTATGAAAATGGGGAAAAGGGAACAAAATACTTCTGTGATTTAGAAAAGCATCATTTTGTAAATAAAAGTATAACTGAACTTATAACAGAGAATGGGGATATACTGGATGATCAAGGGGAGATAATTGAAGTAGAAGCAATTTTTTTATAAGATTTTATACACATCTAAACATGATGAATTGACAGAATTAGAAAATTCACATTTTTTCCAACATCATATTAAGTTAAATAATACGGATAAGAATAGTTGTGAAGGGGTCTTAAAACTCTCTGAAATAGCAAAAGCTTTGAAAAATATTGATAATAGGAAAAGTCCGGGGTCTGATGGTTTTTGTGCAGAATTTTATAAATTTTTTTGGAAGGACTTAGGGGTTTTCTTACTTAGATCGTTTAATTTTGCTTATAGTACGGGACAATCGTCAGATTTTCAAAAACAAGGAATTATTTCTTGCATCCCTAAGGAAGATAAAGATAGACGATACCTAAAAAAACTGGCGACCTATTTCTTTATTAAATGTAGATTACAGGATTGCTACTGCAGCTATAGCCAATAGAATTAAAAATGTTCTTCCAAATATAATTAGTGAGACGCAAACAGGTTTTATTAAGGATAGGTTCATAGGGGATAATACAAGGCTTCTGTATGATATCATGACATTATTAGAAAAAAAAAATCAGTGTGGGCTGTTGTTTGTATTAGATTTCGAAAAGGCATTTGACTCAATTGAGTGGAGTTTTATTACCAAGGCTTTGAAATCTTTAAGTCTTCATGCACATGGTATGAGTTTTTTTTACAGAAATTCCAAAAGCTGTATACTGAATAATGGTCATTTATCACCTTTTTTGAGTTAAGTAGAGGTTGTCGTCAGGGCGACCCATTGTCACCATATATGTTTATAATTGGAGTAGAACTTCTAGCCTTATCATTGAAATCAAATAATAACATAAAAGGCGTAGTTATAACAGAAAACCAGTTCTTATTAGGCCAATATACTGACGATGCCTACCTTCTACTTGACGGTAAGAGTCAGTCTTTATATGCTGCAGTTGGGTTGAGTAATTTTGCTATAGTATCAGGACTAAAGATAAATTTACATAAGTCTACACTGTACTGGATAGGAAATAAAAAATTCTCAAATGAAAGAATATGCCCTGACTTGAATATATCCTGGTCAAATGCAAACTTTAAACTGTTGGGTATTATGTTTTCATTAAATCTAGAAAACATGGAACGTATCAACTATGAAAGGAAACTAAAACAGACTAATAAACTTTTACGATTCTGGTCATGTCGAGATCTTACCTTAATTGGACGCGTTACAATTATAAAAACTCTTATCTTGCCCAAGTTTGTTCATCTGTTTTCCTCCCTTCCAAATCCCTCCAGAACTTATGTTAATAAGTTAAATAAAATTTTAAAACTTAAAAAGTTAAACGTAATACTCTATTTGCATGTAGAGAAATTGGTGGGCTTGACATGACTCATGTCTCTTCTTTCATTAAATGTCTAAAAGTAAAATGGATTGGAAGAGTATTTAAGAACTTGAAGGTTACATGGATAACTTTGTTAAAAGAAATATTACCGTTTGAAATTGAACTACTGTATGACCTCGATAGGAAAAAACTTGGGGAATTTGGGAAATGTATTAAAAATCCATTTTGGAGAGATGTAATTCTTACTTTATCAGAAATCCAAAGTGAGCCTGACACGTTGTCACAATATTTATGCAAAAGTTTAATAAATTTTGTACCAGTTAAAAATATAAAGCTCTGTAAACAGTGGAAAATGCTAAATGGTCCAGGAACAGTTTGGGATTTATTTCATAATGGGGTAATTAGAGAATTCAATGAGTTAGAAGCAGTGCACTCTTTTATTCAGTATTACTCTATAGTAAACAAGATAGACAAAAACTGGAAGCCAGCATACAGAAATGAGATAGAACAGAATAGAGTTATAATACCAACTAGACAGGAAAATATTGTATCAGTTATGTTAAGCAGAACTGACTGGAAGTTTATTTACTGGAAACTGGTTCAACAAGTTGCAATAAAACCTGTAAGAAGTCAAGAGAAATGGAAATCGGTAATAGAAATAGATGATGATTTTAACTGGCATGATGTATACATTAATACATTTAAATATACAATGGAAACAAAATTACAATCATTCCAATATAAAATTAATCATAGGATTCTGCCTACAAATGATTTGTTAGTAAAAATGAAACTAATTTCAAATAGGTTTTGTACATTCTGTAATCGGGAAACAGAAACTTTAGAACATATCTTTGTCCATTGCTTATGTACGGAGATTACAAGAAGAGTTTAATTTATGGTATACTGAATGTGATGGCAGACATCCATATTACAACTTTACAGTTGCAGATATTCTTCTGGGTGGTCCAAAGTATGGGCAATTATTTAACCATTTTTTAATTTTAATGAAATATCACATATATTGCTCACGCTTAAAAGATTCCATTCCAAATTTTAGAACATGTAGAATGATTTTTGCAAAAACCATGAAATTAGAAAAGTACATTTGGGAGAAAAATAGATCATAACTACTCTTCCAGAATAAATGGGGTGATTTTGAACAATATTTGAATAACATAGACCCTTAGGAAAATAAAGGAATACTAATTCCTGGCAAAAAAGTTCTTTCCCCTTTTGAAGTAATTTATGTATAATGTCTGTGACTGCATGGGTGGGTATCCGGTGTCCGATTGGCCTGTTTGGGAGGTGCTCTCCTTTAAGGGATGATGTTTTTTTACAAATGTAGAATTTGTTGTAAACAAAACTCTTTGTAAATAATTGAATGATGAACCACATATTGATTGAGTGACAGAATGAATGAGTTAATTACAAATTGAATGAATGAATACCAGAATAAAGAATGAATTACTAAATGAATGGATTACAGAATGAACGAATGAATTATAGAATGAATGAACTACAGAACAATTGAATGAATGAACTACAGCATGAATGAATTACAGAAGGAATGAAAAAAAACGTACAGCAGACATATCAAATGAGCGTATTCTTTGAGTGGATGGATGAATAAATGGTGGATGAATGGATAAACAAATATAAGGATGTTGAATGAGAGCCCTCTTATACGAGGACATATTTGTACAGATGCTGAATCTGGGGCCCCAACCCCGGCAGTATTTATATGTTTATATATGTCCTGGGCAATAAAAAAAAAGTATTTTCCTTGAGCAGCATTAGTTTAAAATCTACCATTTAAAATAAACAAATTATGATTTCTACAGAAATCAAGAAACGTTCACCATTACTTTTTAAATGAAGGCTTGAGTACGTCTCATCAGAAAAATATTGACATTGGACAAAAAAAAACAACAACTGGCTCTTCAATATGCGAGACAGTTTTACTATAAATTCAAAGATTGTGCAAAAGTGAATAACACCTTTTGACACAATTTAGCGTCAAACAATGAATTAAACTTCATGATACAGCTGTTTCGTTCTTCGAGGACTCGTCTGCCATGCTAAGGCCGTGAAAGGAGGAGTGCCAATTTGGGCCTTCTGGTGGCCATGACGAATACTTTTTATTTTTTGTCTATTAAAAACTTGAGGTCAGGCGGTAATGACATGACATGTATAATTATACTAAGTTGATTTGGTGGTCATGGTGACAGATTTGGTGGTGGCCATAGTAAAAGATTTGGTGGTGGTCATAGTGATGGTTTGGTGGTGGTCATAGTGATAGGTTTAGTGGTGGTCATAGTGATAGATTTGGTGGTGGTCACAGTGATAGGTTTGGTGGTGGTCATAGTGATAGGTTTGGTGGTCAGTGATAGTTTTGGTGGTGGTCATAGTGATGGGTTTGGTGGTAGTCATAGTGATATATTTGGTGGTGGTCATAGTGATTGGTTTGGTGGTAGTCATAGTGATAGATTTGGTAGTAGTCATAGTGATAGGTTTGGTGGTGGTCATAGTGATAGGTTTGGTGGTCATAGTGATAGGTTTGGTGGTGTGTCATAGTGATAAGTTTGGTGGTCATAGTGATAGGTTTGGTGGTGGTCATAGTGATAGATTTGGTAGTAGTCATAGTGATAGGTTTGGTGGTGGTCATAGTGATAGGTTTGGTGGTCATAGTGATAGGTTTGGTGGTCATGGTGACAGATTTGGTGGTGTGTCATAGTAAAAGATTTGGTGGTGGTCATAGTGATAGGTTTAGTGGTGGTCATATTGATATATTTGGTGGTGGTCATAGTGATAAGTTTGGTGTTGGTCATAGTGATAGGTTTGGTGGTCAGTGATAGGTTTGGTGGTGGTCATAGTGATGGGTTTGGTGGTAGTCATAGTGATAGGTTTGGTGGTCATAGTGATAGGTTTGGTGGTGGTCATAGTGATAGATTTGGTAGTAGTCATAGTGATAGGTTTGGTGGTGGTCATAGTGATAGGTTTGGTGGTCATAGTGATAGGTTTGGTGGTGTGTCATAGTGATAGATTTGGTAGTAGTCATAGTGATAGGTTTGGTGGTGGTCATAGTGATAGGTTTGGTGGTCATATTGATAGCTTTGGTGGTGGTCAAAGTGATAGGTTTGGTGGTGGACAAAGTGAAAGGTTTGGTGGTAGTCACAGTGATAGATTTGGTAGTAGTCATAGTGATAGGTTTAGTGGTGGTGGTAGTGATAGGTTTGGTGGTGGTCATAGTGATAGATTTGGTGGTGGACATAGTGATAGGTTTGGTGGTAGTCATAGTGATAGATTTGGTAGTAGTGATAGTGATAGGTTTTGTGTTGGTCATAGTGATAGGTTTGGTGGTCATAGTGATAGGTTTGGTGGTGGTCATAGTGATGGGTTTGGTGGTGTGTCATAGTGATATATTTGGTGGTGGTCATAGTAATTGGTTTGGTGGTAGTCATAGTGATAGATTTGGTAGCAGTCATAGTGATAGGTTTGGTGGTGGTCATAGTGATAGGTTTGGTGGCCATAGTGATAGGTTTGGTGGTGTGTCATAGTGATAGGTTTGGTGGTCATAGTGATAGGTTTGGTGGTGATCATAGTGATAGATTTGGTAGTAGTCATAGTGATAGGTTTGGTGGTGGTCATAGTGATGAATTTGGTGGTGATCATAGTGATAGGTTTGGTGGTCATATTGATAGATTTGGTGGTCATAATGATAGATTTGGTGGTGGTCATAGTGATACAGTTGGTGGTAGTCATAGTGATATATTTGGTGGTGGTCATAGTGATAGATTTGTTAGTAGTCGTAGTGATAGGTTTGGTGGTGGTCATAGTGATAGGTTTGGTGGTCATAGTGATAGGTTTGGTGGTGTGTCATAGTGATAGGTTTGGTGGCCATAGTGATAGGTTTGGTGGTAGTCATAGTGATACATTTGGTGGTGGTCGTAGTGATGGGTTTGGTGGTAGTCATAGTGATATATTTGGTGGTGGTCATAGTGATAGATTTGGTGGTGGTTTTGGACGGTTGGGTGTAATTTGTATGGAGGTTATCAGCCTATGACACATACGGAACATTACACTAGTGGGTGTTACATAGATGAACAAGCTAGCAATATTGATGTCAAATTAAACACATAAATTAATGATCGAACAAGAAAATTACCAAGCTGTTTCCAAAAATGTATTCAACTGTAAAACCATGTGATCCAGGGCTTTTGTTATTTTTCGTGTATGCTAATGTTTTACTTTCTTCCTCCATTGATATTTATCCCTGATTTGTTAGAATCAGCATCACTAAGTTTAGGAATGTTAGGAACGTGTCAAGGGTGACATTTTCAAGATTTCTGTTAGAGTCATATAGCTTTTCATAAAAACATTTAACTTCTTCTAAAATATGTTCTTGATTTGTAATAAAAATCCCATTATCAAGCTGTAGTTTTGGAATAAATTTATATTTTCAAGACTAAAAAAGTAACTAGTTGGTTTGCTCCTTCCTCTTCCCATCGAGTCCTAGATCTTCTATGGATTACTTAAGTTTATTTTCCTGTTTGCTTTGTATCTTCTTCTTATAATCAGCAAACGAAATTGTTTCCCCTCTTATATTCACTAATAGAGTTTCAAAAATAACTGATCGCTAATAATGTACTGTAAAAGTGAGTCTTGTATGTCATTAATATTAGCCAAATTGTAAACTGGAAGACAACATTGTATTTCAGTTTCTTTAATTACATTTTAACAATACCTGTATATTCCACATCATATAATAGAGAGTTATTGAAATTCCAAAGTCCTTAACCTTTTTCATATTCATGAAGTTTTATCCATTTTTCATCTCTTTTGTATTTTGAACCTTTTAAAACAAAATAATGATTTTGAGTGGTTTGGACTTTCAGCTAATTTGTTTTATATATTAAGGTATACAACATATGTTTGGTGTTGGTTAGTTGGCCGATTGGGTCCGTTGTGTGATATGAAGCTGGACGTGTTTGATATTCGTTAGTTTGCCTGTTGGGTCCGTTGTGTGAAATGAAGCTGGACGTGTTTGATGTTCGTTAGTTGGCCGGTTGGGTCCGTTGTGTGATAAGAAGCTGGACGTGTTTAATATTCGTTAGTCTGGCGGTTGGGTCCATTGTGTGATAGGAAGCTGGACGTATTTGATGTTCGTTAGTTTGCCTGTTGCGTCCGTTGTGTGATAGGAAGCTGGAGGTGTTTGATGTTGGTTAGTTTCCCTGTTGGTTCCATTGGATGATAGGAAGCTGGACGTTTTTGATGTTCGTGAGGTTGTCTGTTGGGTCCGTTTAGTGATAGGGAGCTGGACGTGCTTGATGTTCGTTAGCATGCCTGTTGGGTCCGTTGTGTAATATGAAGCTGGGCGTGTTTGATGTTGGTTAGTTTGCCTGTTGGTTCCGTTGTGTGATAGGAAGCTGGACGTGTTTGATGTTGGTTAGTTGCCTGTTGGTTCCATTCTGTGATTGGAAGCTGAACGTGTTTGATGTTCGTTAGCATGCCTGTTGGGTCTGTTGTGTGATATGAAGCTGGGCGTGTTTGATGTTGGTTAGTTTGTCTGTTGGTTCCGTTGTGTGATATGAAGCTGGGTGTGTTTGATAACAGCTTGTTAGCCTGTTTATTCCCATTGTGTGATAGGAAGCTGGACGTATTTGATGTTCGTTAGTTTGCCTGTTGCGTCCGTTGTATGATATGAAGGTGGACGTGTTTGATGTTCGTTAGCATGCCGATTGGTTCCGTTGTGTGATAGGAAACTGGACGTGTTTAATAACAGCTAGTTTGCCTGTTTGTTCCATTGTGTGATATGAAGCTCGGCGTGTTTGATAACAGCTTGTTTGCCTGTTTGTTCCGTTGTGTGATAGGAAGCTGGACGTGTTTCATGTTCGTTAGCATGCCTGTTGGGTCCGTTGTGTGATATGAAGCTGGGCGTGTTTGATGTTGGTTAGTTTGCCTGTTGGTTCCGTTGTGTGATATGAAGCTGAACGTGTTTGATGTTGGTTAGTTTGCCTGTTGCATCCGTTGTGTGATATGAAGCTGGACGTGTTTGATGTTCATGAGGTTGTCTGTTGGGTCCGTTTAGTGATAGGAAGCTGGACGTGTTTGATGTTGGTTAGTTTGCCTGTTGGGTCCGTTTAGTGATAGGAAGCTGGACGTGTTTGATGTTGGTTAGTTTGCCTGTTGGTTCCGTTGTGTGATATGAAGCTGGACGTGTTTGATGTTGGTAAGTTTGCCGGTTGGTTCCGTTGTGTGATATGAAGCAGGACGTGTTTGATGTTGGTTAGTTTGCCGGTTGGTTCCGTTTAGTGATATGAAGCTGGACGTGTTTGATGTTGGTTAGTTTGCCTGTTGGGTCCGTTTAGTGATAGGAAGCTGGACGTGTTTGATGTTGGTTAGTTTGCCTGTTGGGTCCGTTTAGTAATAGGAAGCTGGACGTGTTTGATGTTGGTAAGTTTGCCGGTTGGTTCCGTTGTGTGATATGAAGCAGGACGTGTTTGATGTTGGTTAGTTTCCCGGTTGGTTTGTACAAATTGAGAACGTGACATTGGTTGTTTGGATTGACCAAGATTCACATGCGTGGTGTCGTCGATGAATCAGAAGGCGCTTAATCAACTGCTCTTTTTCTTCCTATTTGTTTTGCCCTAGCTTTATTGAATTGATTAAACTTAATGATTACGTTGAGATATAGGTATTTTTCTTTTCATTTTAATGAAGTTACCTTTGTTATCCCTCTTTTCCACTAATGTTTATAGAATATCGGTTTGTTTAAATTATATGTTCGTGTTTCCAAATACATTTGGGTGGAGGACTCCTTGTTTAGTGGTATCAAAGTTTTTTTATTTTATTTTTCATCAAGTTATCATTCTTTCATCGTTCTCATCATCATAACAATCATTATTCATTCATCATCCTCATCAAAGTTACACCATTCATCATCGTTATTATCATAACAATCATTCATTCATTCATCATCATCATCATCATCATCATCATCATCATCATCATCATCATCATCATTATTATCATGACAACCATCATTATAGTTCATTCATCACCATCAAGTTACCATCCATTCGTCATCCTTATCATCAAAACAACAATGATTATTTACTGATCATTAACAAAGTTGTCTTTCATTCTTTCTTCATCATCACCATCTTCATCATCATCCACCTCACAGTGATGGTAATCTATTTTTCATCATCATCATCCTCCCCATCCAGCTCATCATCACTGAACATGATAATATTATAACCATTATCATTAAATACCCATCAACATACAATTTTGAGCCTCCTCCTCATCAGAGAGAGAGAGAGAGAGAGAGAGAGAGAGAGAGAGAGAGAGACATGATAATTCAGTTTTGTACAATAACAAATAGCATTAGGTAGACAGAAAGTGTAGGCAAAAGTCAACAACGATATAGTTGAATACAAATGCGCAATCTTACTAACATATCCTAACAGTTTAATATAGCGGTACAAATAAAGATATGTACAATATATAGTGGTATCAAAGTTGATTTGAATAATAAAATTGCTAATGTATAATGTTTGTAAATATCTGATAACATTTCCCTACATAAGGCTGTGTTGAATGCCATATTGTAAGTTTGAAGTTCACATTTATGTCAGATTTCTTGCAATTTTTTGTAAAGAATCGGACATTACGTTTGACTGACCTAGATAGACTAAAGTAATATTGATCGACGCCCATTACTATTTCAGGCTGACCTCCAAGCCTCCATTTCACTGTGTATTTTTTTTTTATGTAATCAGATTAGTTGTATAATGTCTGCGGTTATTAACATAAAATTTAACATAATCAGTATATGTATAAATACTTCTTTTATTAGCATTTCGTAGATTTTTTAAATTACATTTCCAGTACAATAATTTATAAATAAATGTACTAATAATCTGTTTACTTTTAGATGTAATTCACCAAGGTACTTAGCTTTTGATCAAAGGTTGTATTTGTGGGGATATTTCTAGATAACAGTCTTGTAAATGTAAATTCCATATACAAAACATGATTTTGATTATTTTCTTGTTTAAAGTTTTCTTCAGCTTTTAACTGCGACTTGGCCATTGTGTCTTTCATTCGTTTGTATTCTTTGGAATAAACAGAATTAGATCTATCATCGGTCTAGACCTTCATAAAGAATCATACATATGAAGACCAAATTGATACATTACAAAACGTTAAATGACATCATTTTTAAAATGTGGTAACCTTCTAGTTATATTTCTGCTCGTAATAATAGCTGTAGGTAGATACAGTGTTTGTCTTGGTATCATGACTCGAGTATATTGTAAACATTCGGTTTTAAACCGCAGTTGTTGTATAGTATTACCCTATATCACCATTTTTTAAATACCCGACAAGGTATGCTACCACAAATATATG